CAATTCTCAAGGCAGCATAGTGACGTCCAATCAAGTAACGGGGTTAGTCACCTGATGTAAGACGCTAACTCCATAAGGCGCATATTGCCACCGGAGTCCAAACGGCGAACAACTGCTAATATTTCAGCCACATGACAACGACGAGACTAGTGGACACAAACATCTCGTGCAGTCTCTGAGGAGCAGATATTGTTTAATCTTCATCGCTGTCGACGTGGACAGTAGCCTAAGTCGTTCCTGCGAGTGTACATTCACCACGATTTGCATTCATTAAGCCGGAGCGCGAAACGTATCCAGATGAACTAAATGCTCAGTTGGTTTTCGTTCTGAACTTTTCCATCTCTCTCCATCGCGAGTGTGAGTTGGAAACTTCATTTGTGTTTCAATTTATGCATGTGTTCTTCATGTTAGGCACCCTTGATTTCATCGGGTGTTCACAATGTTGAAACAACTTTTTCCGCAGTGAACTCAGCTGATCTCCAACACCCATGGACAACTGTATCACTATTTCTAACAAGTAGATGTGTGCATCACAGGCATGAATTTGCATACTATTTCGCACGTGGCCCTCGATAACAGACAGAAAATGAACTCCGCAATTATGTGAACGCAGCCACCGCCGCAGAGGAATTACCCAATTTGACCGTAGGTCTTCGGATGTTTGCAGACTAAGAGGAATTGACTGAGCTGCCACAACTAACAGAATGAACATGCTGAATTAGTCCCAAAATGTGTGAATTACTAAGTGGACACGAACTGTTGGTCCGAAGTCAGCCGAACGTCTATACGTGGACGAAAACGAACAATAGACGCACACTTGAAGTTTACTAAGTCGGGAATCTCACGAAGTCTCGTAATAAAACAAAGCCTTGAGAAAGCCGCGGCGCTTCCCATTATAAATCAGCTAGGGAGATTTCCGTTGCTGAATCCATTACCCGAAGGAAGGAATATTCGCGGTTCTGGCAAGAAATTGTGATGAGAATTTAGGATGGGGAATGGCGCACACCGGAGTGCTTTCAGAATCGCTCATACTAGGCATGCCAATCGTTGGACATCAGGGAGACTGGTTCCAAACATTCTCCTTTCTTGAGGTGCTTAAGAGGCACCAATGGTAAAAATTCCACACTTCGATGTTTGGTGGAATCACGGAGGTTGCTGATCTTGAAAATCCAAAAATCCCCACTTACTAAAGTGGATCGGCAACTATCGTCAAACTCAGACGACGATTACATGCAAAATGTGTCGAAAAAGGCTGTGAATTGATAAAGCTTAATTCCAACGGACAGGAGTCGATAGATCACCCAGTCACTGAAGGTAGCAGATTATGTAGAGGGACAAATCATTGGGGCACAAACGAAAGGATCGTACAACGCAAGTTGTGGACCACGGCAGATAAAAGAGGCGCACAAATTGATTTTGCACGCACAAGCCGGGTTTGTGATGGGTGATACAGATAGCTTCCGCAATAAATAGCTGCTTCCGGCATCCGCGCGACAGACGCTCAAGAATAGAGTATATGAACTGAAGTCGTTTGCCGAGCCTGTGACCGCACTCTAAAAGGCGTTCGTCAGAGTTGTCCTATTTCCCCATTTTCGTTCCGTTTCGTCGTGGACTCCATCATAGTGTTCTCTTACGGAGCCTCACGATGCATGTGTTGTGGTGCTGCCTAGGAAAAGGCTAGTTGATCTAGATTATGCGGACGATATCGTTTTGGTTTTCGACGATGCTGAGGCGGCACAATCAAACCTGAATAGCCTGTCTAGAGTGGCTCCATTATTTGGTATACGCTTCACACCTTCAAAGTACTGTGTTGCTGCAGGACCACCAGCTTCTTGATAACCTCTTGACAGCGAGGAACTCGAGGTGGTTGATCGATCAATTTACCTTGGCAGTTGCAACTGCAACCACTGTAGCTTCACGCATAGTAAAAGTCAGAACTGCGTTCTTATATCTGCGACATCTTTGGCGAAAGAAAGATTTCTCTCGTTTGTAACGCAGTGTTTACACGACCAGAGTGAGAGTCGTCTTGCTCTATGGTAGTGAGACTTGGCCTCTTCGGTCTGAGGCGCCTTCAAGTCTTTGATCATCGTTGTCTGTGAAGCAGTGCTGGTGTTGGGTGGCACCAATGTGTCCGCAAAGATTATGTGCGTAGGCGAATACTAGGCAGTGATAAATAAGCTATCTCCTTAGAATAACAGATGGCAGTTAATAGGTTGCCTTGGTGTGGGCACGTATGCCTGGTCACCGATTACCTCAGAGGGCCTTGTTTAGTCTGCCACGTGTAGGGTTGCGCAAAGCTCGAGGTAGACAGAAGTTGACTTGGCAGCGTGAAATGAAGTCACTGACGACCAAACTTGGTGCCGTTGGTCCGTCTCGCCTTCCGAGCTGAAGTCCGCGTGACCCGCCTTGTGCTTGGCTCGGGACTTTACAGGACATGGCTCGCAACCGACACCAGTGGCAGGTCTGCTACCGTCTCCTAGTCGGACTGCTAGTTTAAAGTGTGTTTGGTGCTGAGTTATCTACGGGGTAATGGCTGATTATGACCTGGCACAGTGAAAATCGCAAGGAAGTTGTCTCGATGATGCCGCCCTATCTTTGCACGATAGCCAGCTGTTTGTGACTGTAGGTTGTTAACACAAGATGTGTGTGCCTTGATCCTGAATGTTTGCTTAGGGCATTAAGGTTTTCAGGTAGGTCCCTCTTCTCTCCATCTTATTATTCTTTATGCCATAGATCATCATGGTTGTATAGAAGCGAAGTATCTGTTCAAATGACTGATGTGCTGCTGCTGTTGTTGTTAATGATTATTATTATTATTATCAAGGAGGTCCTATTGAGCGCTCTGGAAGGCAGATTTAGCCTACGTTGATGATATTGTCTTGCTCAAGGACGACTCCAAGTGCATGTAGCTCATCCTAAACCGTTTGGTGATTAAAGCAATTAAGTGTGGCATGACCATTGCTCCCTCGAAATGCAGTCTTACTCCGGGACTGGCATCCACCCGCAGATTTGTGCTTATGCTGATGACACCAAGAGATAGGAAATTTTCTCCGTATTGCAAAACCCTGATCAGCTCTCGTTAATATGAGGCATCTGTGGCATCGTCGGAAGGTTTAACTCGACAAAGAGCAAAGTCTACAATACCTATATTCGCGTAGTGCAGGGGTATAGAAACGAGTCTGGGCCCATTCGTGTGAAGGACGTGCGCGCGCTTTCTTACTTTGATAACGGGTGTCTGCGGAGGATAGGTCATGTGTGGTGAAGGCGCCACGTTTGCAACGATGACGCAGGGCATCGCGTCTTAAGTAATACTGCTGGCATTTGGAAGTCATGGTGCAGGAACCCGGGAGGGGTTCGAGGAAGGCGCACCACTGACGAGACCCAGAATGTCGAAACAGCGCTGTCTGGTGTATTTCCAGACGTGCCAAAGCGTGCTATCTGAGAGTGAACTATGATGAATTGCCTCTGATTAATACATGTCCCACTCTCAATAGGCTTGTACCGCTGCGCCAACTGTGATGGCTGGGTCAAGTGCTACGCATAATGTGTGAGCAAATACCACGGAGCGCTTTATTCGTTCGCGCGGGGCCGCAATGAAAGAAATGACGCGTTAGGCAACCTACCACATGACAGTAAAATGGTAAAGCGCTGACTTCCAGTCTAGATATCGTCGGTCCCGTGAGTCTTCCGGGCTAGGAAAGCAAAGATGAAGAATACCCCTGGCTATAAGATGCGTGTGAGTCTATGCCTTGAATTAATTAATGAACATCGCAACCAGTAAGGTGATAAAAAAAAGATAAACGGTGTGAAGAAACACAAAGAGTTGCATTTTCTTATTTGTTTCCTCCTTTGTGACTTCTATGATCATTACTTATATTCATTCCATAGTTTCTGATGGCTCTATGTCAATATTATAAACTACTGCCACTATCTATCATATATAATCAAGCAGTAAAGGATTTCCTTATCAGCTGCTGGCCCAATGATTATCACCCGCGAAGCTTAAACAATCCAACTTGTTACGGACGTTTTGACTATTCAAGCATGCCATTATTTCCCTCACTATATGTTTTGAGTTTGCCCGAACTTCATGTTAAAGCAAGCCCTCCACAAGCAAGCAAAACCAAGCTGACTATTCCCACTCTCCGCTCTTCCCTCAGTAACACTAGCCCATCCTAATTGACAATGACTCAAACCATTGTGAATTTACTCGTGGCACTTGTCGTCGGGCGCTTGCCATGGCGGACTGGTTGATTGGCTTATGGATTGTACGGCTTCAAGGTACTTGTGACATAGCTACGTCAGTATATCAATGTGACTGGTACGTGTCGGTACGCTGGTCATTTGAGGTGCATTGTTTCTGAGTATTGCAATTTGTGAAGGAATTGTTGTACGCCTTTGGTATGGACACTGTTGAGGATAGTGTCTGATTTGTTATGCTAATCCGTTGTAAAAACAGCACCGTAGTTATCCCCAGTTTTGTTTGCTCAAATGGTCAGGGGACTTTTACGAGTCACTCAAAGCCAAGACCGAGTTGTCGGTAACACAACCTCATACAAACAAAAGACTTATCAATGGGTGGTGGGCAGGCATACACAGAACGTTCCCAAATCAAAACAACTAACTGTCTTTCTACTGGACTAACAAACTGATATACTGGATTAGCGTAGCCGACTTTGATCAGGGGCCAAACAGGGGGTTGGTGCAAGAAGTTATAGAAGACTGGGGAGGCGGTACTGTACCCCCGACCGATGTACTGCGAAGATTAGAGAGCGTTTGGGAGATAGCACTAATTGCTCGCGTTACAGTACCCCCTCGCTCCGAGCAGTAAAAGCAAACCAACATCACAATCTGCACCGAAGAGCCCGTGTCTTCACAATACTCAAACGAGATGTATGCACAAGCAACCCAGTAATGCAAGGGAAATTATTCGGGAGGTTAAGGTTAACAACCCGAATTCAAGTTGAAAGTACACAATCATGAGACACGGTTGAACTTGCCTGTTCAACTGTGATATTGGCTCCGACCATCATTTGCAGCATGCCGAGTAATTCGCCCCGAGAAATTCTGTCATCCATATCCAGATCATACATTCCAAATAAGAAGCGTAATTTAGCATCTCGGCTGTTGAATTTTGTGGATTGAGAGGCCTTCACTTTGCGAAATCTTGCCAATTTTCGCATATATTCCCGGAAATTTAGCTCCTCGTGGCTGTAAAGTGTGAAAAGAGCGATGCAGTGGAAAACTAGCAAGAGGAAGAAAAGTGGAAGCTATGAGCTCAGAATTTGATGGGATACCAGTGGAAACAAGCTGAGTGGCGGCACCCAAAAACCCGCAAAAACACCGAGGTTCCACAGTAGTGGCGTCGGATCACAGGACAAGCAAAGGAATAAACAATAAAGCAGCAGAGATGTAAGAAAATAACGGATAGGTGATTGTTGTATGAGCATTATAGGCCTTTCAAGACAAGACAGCTAGACCGCAGCAGAGATAATGTGTATCAAATGCACGACGTCAAATGATGGCTGGATCGATTCGCCCAGCATACCAGCGACGCTTAGACAGATACTACGAGTAAAAATGATAAGGTGGAGTGAAGTGGAAACTGCGAGTGTCCAAAAATATTATGACGATACGTTACTTTAACGGTGATCGGTAGCGTGGTGATTTAGATGTTTGCCCGGCAACCTTACTCCCGGGATTCGAGAACGCATCCATCTAGGTTCGGACACTAGGCAGTGAAGTATAATAACAAGACACTGGTGTAAGGTTGCGAAGCTTGATCCATCAGATTAATAGACATAATGGAGTAATTACCGTTCGACTGAATCACGGGGAATGCTGCTCCCCAGCAATCCAAAAATTCCCATTTATTAGAATGAATCAAGGGAGGCAGAATCTGAGTAAAGAATTCTTTTCGGTAATTCTCATCAGACTCAAACATTACATGATGAAATAGAATGTTATCACAAAGTGCGAATTCGAAAAGCTGAGACCTTCAGGCGGACATCTACCACGGTTGTACGGCCTCCCTAAAGTACACAAGGAGGGCGCTCCACTGCGTCCCATACTGGATATGGTTAGCTCTCCGCAACATTTGATAGCTCAATGGATGGTTGAGAAGCTGGAACCGTTGCGTAAAACCGTCTGCACTTACTGCGTGAAAGATACTTTCGAGTTCATTGAGAAGATAAGAGACGTGAATCTTAACAACAAATGGATGTCGTCATTTGATGCGCAGTCGTTGTTTACGAATATTCCGTTGTTGGAAACAGTAGAATATGTCTGCGAACTAGTACGGCAACTGAACGTACCTATAAATATCCCGGAAAACCTCCTGAAGGAATTGTTACTCAGATGCACTTTAAACGTGCAATTCACCTTCAACGGAGAGATGTATCGTCAAATTGATGGAGTTGCCATGGGCTCACCATTGGGACCCTTTCTAGCAGATGTCTTTATGGCAAAATTGGAGCATAAGGTATTAAGAACGCACATCAACGAAGTCGAGATGTATATACGTTATGTAGACGATACATTTATACTCTGCAAATCGAAAGCACAGACTGTGAAACTGTTGGAAGCTTTTAATGATGCGCATCAGAATCTACATTTCACATGTGAGCACGAATCCAGAGACCGACTATCGTTCCTGGATGTTGATATCATCAGAAACGCCGATGGATCATGCAGCAGAGGGGTGTATAGAAAACCAACTTGGACTGGACAGTACATCAACTTCTATAGTGCGGTACCCATACAGTAGAAACGAAATCTAGTCCGCACTCTTGCGTTCCGAGCACATAGAATTTGCACCCCGGACACAATCACCAAGGAATTGCAGAGAATCAGCGATGCGCTAAGAGAGAATGGGTATCCAGATAAATTCATCCTCAAACATCTGAAAGAACGCAAGATAAAGCCACCGAGGGTGAACGTACCCAAAAAAGAACTAATTGTGCATATTCCTTTCAAAGGCGACAGTGCGGCTGATGCCCTGTCCAAACGCCTGAGAGACGCTGTTGAAAAGACCTACTTCGCGGCTCGCCTACGCATAGTATTTTACAACAAGCCTTTATTCGCAAAACCTTTGAAAGACAGGCTGTCTCTGGTGACTCGATCAATTCTTGTTTATCTTTACTCGTGCTCCTGTGGGGCACGATACGTGGGTCGTACCACGAGACGCCTATCTCATAGGATTCGCGAACACATCCCAAAGTGGTTTTACAAAGGCGAAGCGAGGTCCGGCAACAGTTCTATCTTATCTCACCTACTAGAGTGCAGTCACGCAGGAACGGAAAATGATTTTAGAGTCATCTATACTGTTCCTGAACGTTTCACGCGCGGATTCCGGACGCATCTTCTGTCTATTGCGGAAGCTATCTACATCCGCCACCTCAAGCCAGAACTGTGCGTACAAAAATAGTTTGTACGTCCTTTGCTTCTACCGTGACCTACAACTTCGGCTATGATTTCCCCTGTACACACTTCCCACTTCCAAAGACCCCGTGATTTATTGATTTGTACCCGTGAAATTAAACATTTTGTTCAATACGTAGCCCAATCCGGCACATTTAGCGCTTTTTCCTCATTATGTAATGTTTGAGTCTGATGAGAATTACCGAAAAGAATTCTTTACTCAGATTCTGCCTCCCTTGATTCATTCTAATTACCGTTCGACAACCAGTGACTTCGAAAGTTTGCCCATATCTCGTGGAAACACCGCGGTGAGTAATGACCGTGTTCGCCACCGCATTCATGCCGTTAGTGCACGCATCAGGCTTCTATGGCTGGGTCACGGTGTTGCACATGGTGGCACATCGACTCCCACGAAGTGCGTCGTATGCGCAGCCAGGGAGTGGATGGAAAAAGGATTGGAGACTAGCCGATCATTTGGATTGAAAGCTCTCATTTCGAACTTGTTGCCGGATGATGGTGACTCCCGACTTCCTAGATGAGGTCCAGAAGACGATGAGCACATTTGGTTGCAGACACCAGTTGGCATGTCCAAGGGTGTATCTTAGCGAAGTTTTTTGAGTTTCACTATTCTTTCCCACCCAGTTAGGTCCCACCAACCTCATCTTCGAAGCGTGGGAAGGAAAAAATATTATCATTTGCAAAAGAGTTCCGGAGTTTCTAGCTCCCAAAACTGGACTCCATGATCGACCGGTATCGTGCTGATTTGATTTGCTTCTTTTTCCACAACCATCTGCCATGGGTTGTGGTTGCTCACTAGCGACGGACTTGATTCCACCAGTTTAACAATAGAGTTAAGCTACCATTGGAGGCTATTTCCCGTCGTTGGCGTCAATTAAATAAGTCGAAAGAATTATTGCGAAAAGTAACGTGCTATCAGTCCGACGCTATTTGTCTCTGAACTGCTGACGTGTGTCATCCTGAACCGGAGCACTAATACTCATGAGAAACGACTCTGTGAAAGGTTGGTTGTTTCCGTCCCGACATACGGGAAATTGACCGCAGCTTCACTCTTAGGTAGTTACTATCACTATCATTCAAACAACCTATCATGGTAGCCGTTCTTAGATCCCTTTACGTTGATCGCAAGTCCTCTAAAGTGTTTACATACGGAAGCTATATTTGGAAAATTCTTGCCTACTCTAAAGTCTCTATACTACAACTCACAAATCCGTAAACTCTCTCCTGAGTTCGCTATGAGAAAACGCACATCGGAGTTGCTTTAGCAGTCTAGTTCTCCGTTGTGCAAGACCGTTAGAGCGTAGGCCAATCCCCAGTAATTAAGAACGAGCAGGACGAGTACGCGAGTTTATTCTAAGAACAGAACGTGGAACAAACGCGGCAGAAGAAGTTACACTGTAAAGCCTGCACTAGCCGAATGTGAGTTCGATCACGCGTACAGATTTCAAATCAACACTGGTCTGCTGATCGATATCTTTCCGGTGCGTTAGGCATCAGCCGCTTTGACCTTGGGTTCAGCTAGTTCCGGTTGTTGGGGCAGCTGGTTGAGTGAACGCAATTCACATGCTCCGCAGGTTTGCCCTCGAGAAACCTTACCCTCCTAACACCTTCTCCCTTAGCTTGTTCGAGGTACGATCTCCGTCCTGGATCAAGCTGCAAAGAAGTTACTGGCTTACGCGTACGATTAGATTTGCGTCTTTGTAGGGGCATGTCATCTGTTGTCGGGACTAGGTTACATACCGTTCCGGTTTCAGTAGGCCTTTCCATTACGCACGCCTCCAACAGATGATCAAGACTAAGATCCATCGCTGCTTCCTGGTTCACAACAAAACGTTCGATGAAGTTGATTAACGTTGCGCCTCCACAGCAAGGGACTCACTTGGGCGTCGTACAAGACCTGCTCAATACGCCCTTTAACGACACCAACAGCCCATTTTTGATGACCACGGCGACATTCTCTAACGAAAACACGATCTCCTGGTCGTAACGTACGTTTATCTTGCATTACAACCGACAGCTTGCCTGAAACTGGTGTTAGGCATAAGTTCCTGTTCACCACAGCTCCGGCGGGCGAACAGCCGTTCCGACGTTGCGGAGTTGCAGTGATTCTGTAGGTTTGCAGGGATGTATCTAGTATTCTCGCTGTCGTTCCCTCTCCCTTGATTTCCGCAGGGCATTTATCTCAGGTAGCTTCGACTCTCAGGATATGGGTAGGTGCTGAGGAACACAACCTGTTGATGGGCATGTCGGAAAGTTCCAAACAATCAATCCAGTCAATACCAAGCATGTTTAGTTCATAACCAACTATGTAAGTGGTAGTATGATCGCGCTTGCCTAAAATTGCCAGGTCACAAACAAATTGACCAAGCAATTCGATTTTACCGCCGAGTGAATTTCTGGCCGTATTAATATTAGTCTGACGATATCCTGGCGAACCCAGCTTATTCCGGGTACTTGTTGACACAATTGTTATATCGGTCGCCGTAGCAAATTGTAAACGATCCGTCCTTGCAGGCACGTATTTGCGGTGCCGTTTAAAATTAGGATCGGTTTGTCGCAAGCAAGGTGTTGAATTTAGACTCGGTCCTATTTGAAGGACTGACCGATAGACGTCAATGACTGTGTTCGGACACGCTACATTGTTCAGCACAGACACTTTGTGGCCGCGCCGTTGCACACTGAGCACCAGTGCTTCTTATAGGGAACAGAACATCACGAAATGCCATTGCTACTTCGGAACAGAGAGAAAATGATTGACAATGCAATCGATGAAT